AATATCTGACTATGACTCTCCAAACATTTCCAATTTTCTCCCACCCTTCTGACTTGGAATCACTAAGAAGAAAACTGCTTTTCCTGAAGCCCTGCAAACTGAAACTGGACAACTTGACAGAAATTTCGTAAGAGCTCATGTGTGGACAGTGTTCTTACCTGTTGCAGTTGGGCTATTCAGAAGGTTCACACCTGATGACATCACCAGAGATAGTCAAACTGCAAACCAGGAAAATGAATGAGACTGCCCGAGTATGGCTTTCAACTACCTCGTTTTGATCTCGAGCTTTCTAATTGATTAAGTTCTTCTTTGCAGCTCATAACTCAGGCAAAAAGCCCTCCAGGCAAAGTATCCTGCCTAGGGAACAAAAACTACCCCCCTCAAGCAATAAGGACTGCCTAGACCAGCAAGACCCCCACCTGTGATTGACCCCAAGCTAATCATCAACTTGACCTTTACATAACTGAGGAAGGAGGGAATGGAGGCTCAGGAGGGAAGTTGACCAACGTAAAGCCATTTTGGTTTTTAGGTTGACTCTTAAGTCAGCAGGTCATAAAAAGAATCACAAGACCCCACTCCCTCTGGCTATAAAAGCCACATCAGCTGGACATTCTTAAAATTGTTCTGTAGGAGCGTTGTGCTGACAATACTGACCCCATCTTTGGCCCTCCGTCTTGTTCACATTTGCTCAGTAACCTCTCTTGGGGCTACATGTTCTGGGCCCCTTGGAGATGAATATACATACCTTAGAAATGCCGGCCAGGATGGGGGGGGGGAGGCTTATTTTACCCTCCCATGAATCTGTTAGAGATAACAGTTTTTCCTGATGCACAGGTGGTGCCACAAGATCTAATTAAAGGCCAGCTGTCAAATAAGGTGCATGCAAGCCCTCTGAGGTGAGTGCAAGCCTTCTGATCTCACTACAGTGATCTTCTGTGTGTTCCCCTCACTCTATACAATCTGTGGACTGAGGTCTGGATTTCGTGGAGAATTAACTATGCAGCTACTGTGGACTGTTCTCCACCTGAATCCCTCTGTCAATAAGTTACCTTGAATAAAACTCTATGTAAACTGTATGGAGTGGCCTGCTTTGTTTTCTGGTCTCAAAGTGCCTTCTTAGCTTGGGGATACTTTACTGTCTATCCTCCACCTTCTAACATGCTCCCTGTAGGTTATTCCACAACCCTAGGTAGGACAGCGGAAAAACCAACCGCCCAATATAAGTGATACACCCAAAGTTAAAGAGTAAGCTCCTCTCTATTAGCTAATTTAAAAAAACCCTATAAAACGCTTTACTAGAAGCAAAGGGGCATAACTCTTCCTCACCCAGGAGAAGAGACCATTACTTTGTGAAGTAGCTCCTGATGTGGGAAACAAAGGCAAAAGAAGAAATTAAATTTCCTACTGCCTACAAGTCCTTGAAACGGGCAGAGTGACATATTCCTCTAGGAACTCAGCTGCCTTTATGCTAATACTTTGCCGAGGGCAAAAGGCAATCTTAGCCTGACCCCCAGGATCCTGTGAGTCTACTCTAACACATAAAAATTCCTTTGGAAACTTCCTTTATCTCTACTCCCCACCCCAAAATACATGTTAGCAATCATCCTCTAAGCATATGGCCCACTAATCTACATCTGAAGGGTCTCATGACTCAGGTTTTATTAGACAATAATAAATGACCTTTTCCCAACAATAGCTAGCCCCCTCAAGGTCCTGGAAAAGATGCTTTCAAAATTCCTTAGAGACTTATGCTATCCCTAACCCCCTCCCAACTTGAAAGTATATAATGGGCCACTCCTCATGACCCCAGTGCAGCTCTATCTACCTGCCCCTGTCCTTTAATAAAACCGTCTTTTTGCACCAAAGACGTTAATTCTTTTTGGGCTGTTGGCTCCCAACTCCAACACTGCCACATCACTCGGCGCCTGAATGTGTGGCTCGGTCTTTTCATCTGCACTCTGAGCTTCTCTGTAAACTTGGTGAGTACTTTCTCTTCTCTTCCTTTACTCTCATTTCAGGGGATTTTCATGGAGTATGGTCCTTTTTTTTTTTTTTAAATAATATTTATTTTTTCAAGAATTTTTTGTTTATTCATTTGAGACAGAGAGAGAGAGAGAGAGCACGAGCGGGGGAACAGTAGAGGGAGAGGGAGAAGCAGGCTCCCCGCCAAGCAGGGAGCCGGATGCGGGGCTTGATCCCACGACCTGGAGATCATGACCTGAGCCGAAGGCAGACACTTAACGATCTAAGCCACCCAGGCGCCCCCATGGAGTATGGTCTTATTGGAACACTTTCAGGTCAACTGCTCAGGCTGCAATCCTCTAGCTTGGGGCCACTCTACGGGGAGGAGAAAGCCTGCCTTTTGGCTGGAAGTTAGTACCCTGGCCGGAATGGTAGTAAGACCCAGAAACTTAGTTTCTTGATGTCCTCGCTTTATTCCTGTCCTTATACAAAGTTGTCTTTTCTGGGCACGGGACAGCCACCTAAGTTGCTAGCACAGCTGCCAATCTTAAGACTCCCATGTGAGGTTTCCTCCTCACTGGTTTAATGTGATGTTCTCCACATCTCTGGTCTAGTGATCTCTGGCCACGAGACTTCCACTTGGAACCGGCTGAAACCAGTACCCAACTGAATTAAAGCCCAACTGGGACAATTTCCTAGAGAAGTTGGCTGTAAAGACTACATGTGTTGGAATGTCGCTTAGACCATGACGGATTTCTATCTCTACTGTCTTCTGTCAATGTCCTCCACTTACAACAAACTATAGGGGCAATTTCCCCTTGTAAAAACTTTCCTAATGTTTTCCATGGGTTAAAAATGGGGGGTTCTTCAGGGCAAGGCAAGGTATGGTATCTTGGTCCACATGCTGGCACCCATTTTACAGTCTAGAATTCGATGGGCAAGCTGGGGGATGCGAGCATCCCTCCTACCGGGACTTTAATGGCAGGGTGGTGATCATAGCAATTTCATTCAAGGGGCACCTCGGGTTGCTTTGACACCAGGAACCTCTGATGAGCACAAAGAATGTCTATACATGAGCTATTGTGCAATTTCTCTGAAGTTTACCTCAAGTTGTCTAGCTTAGGCAAACAACAAACATTCAAAGACAATGAGAACTAGAATTTAACATCTGCAAAGATGGGTTATTGACACATATTTTTCTCTCTGTAATCACTCTCATTTCCAGAAAGAGCCAAATTAAGACTAATTTGTAAAACAAGTCACAATTTTGGCCTTAATTTCTCCTTTTGCTTTTGTTTCCCACATCAGTGTCGCTTAGGCCAAGTCACCAAACTGGGGTTTATTTATATTTATTTGACAGAGAGCGAGAGAGCACAAGCAGGGGGAGCAGCAGGCAGAGGGAGAAGCAGGCTCCCCACTGAGCAGGGAGCCCTGACTGGAAAGCAGCTGCTTAACCATCTGAGCCACCCAGGCGCCCCCAAACTGGGGTTTAATATCTAACCTAACTGTAGTGTCAGCCTCCCCCAGAAATGTTTTAACTGAGTCAGCTGGAATTTTCTGGTCATCATCAATGAGGTAATCTGTTACCTAGGTCCTCTCTATCCTCAAAGGCAAATGAGGTCATCTGCATGATAAGACCCCCTGCCCTTTCCCCCAAGTGATAGTGACCTTGCCTGGAATCCTTTCTTTTCTTTTGCCATTAACTCCTTGCCCCACCCTCCTTCTTATAAAAACCTCCCTTTTTTTTTTTTTTTAAAGATTTTATTTATTTATTTCTTTGACAGAGAGAGAGACAGCGAGAGAGGGAACACAAGCAGGGGGAGTGGGAGAGGGAGAAGCAGGCCTCCCGCTGAGCGGGAAGCCCGATGCGGGGCTTGATCCCAGGACCCTGGGATCATGACCTGAGCCGAAGCAGACGCTTAACGACTGAGCCACCCAGGCACCCCAAAAACCTTCCATTTTGTACAACTCTTGGGAGCCCCTTTCTACTTGCCAGATGGGATGCTGCCCGATTCATGAATCATTCAATAAAGCCAATTAGATCTTCAAATTTGCTCGGATGAATTTTGTTTTTTGGCAGGGCCCTCACTCCATCTGAGATGCTCTGAGCCCAACATCTAGAAATCTTGACTGTCCTCTGGACTCAAAAACAGAGTTTACGGTTTGTTCCAACTATTAACCTTTTTCTTTTGTTTCCATTAAAAAACGCCTCTTATTAAATAGGTGACTGCTCATGCCATGTAGAGCCCCCCTGCAATAAATACCACCTCCTAAAATGAGACACAACTGTTTAACTAATGTATTCTCAGGACTAACAGACTCATTCAAAGACATGAAACTTCTTGGGGAAGCTTCAAAGACGGGAATGAACGACAGCAGAATTCATCAACCCAAAATACAGCTCTTTGGCATCAAGATTATTTTGAGGAACAGCAGACGTGTTGGGCGTGGAGCCTACTTAAAAAACAAACAAACAAAGACAATAGAGAGTAAAGAAACCCCTGCATTACTTACATCCTTCCCTCTTCAAGCGGTAACTGATGTGGGGAATAAAGGCAGAAGGAAATGTAGTTAAAAATAATTTCCTCATATCCTGCAGCCAAGTGACAAATACTTGAGGCAGACAGAGCAGGACATTCCTCCAGGAAACTCCCAAGGGTCTTAATGTTAATGTTTTGCTAGAGGGAAAAACAACTTTAGCTTGACAATAGCCAGGCTTCCAGGATCCAGTGAGTCTTCTGTAGCATATGAAAGACTTTTGGAAACTTCCCTTGGTCTTCTCCCCCAACCCCAAAGTGTATAATCAGTGCAGCTCTTTCGGCCCAAAGGTCCTGTCCCAGTGCTTTAATAAAACCACCTCTGCCCAAGGATCCTGTCCCCGTGCTTTAATAAAACCACCTTTTTGCAAAGACATCTCGAGAATTCTTTCCTGGCCATTGGCTCCAGGCCCCAACATTTCCACATAGTAACCAATGCCTCAATATTTTGTTTTATATTTGACATTTAAATATTCTTTATGAGACAGTGGTTGTTCCTACCAGGAAAAAAGGTTTTGACCTCTTCAGTCCTTTGAGGAGATACAGATTTATGTGAAGGCAAACGTTTCCAAGAGCCATCTTCAGTTTTCTTCATGAACTGGTCAAAAAGGAGTCTCATGTCCTTGCTCCAGCTGGGGTTGGGGAGAGAATGGTCCACATAAATGACCTCTGAAGAAAATGACCTCTAAAAGAAAGAGAGGAGAAAAAGAAGAATGGAGAGTGAACCCTATCTTGTAACATATTCTCCTATTTTCTGAGACTATCTGGCTGCCTCTTCCAGAAGTTGGTCATTTCAGAGTGGAAGCACATTTTAAGAATCAGCTGATCCAACCTCCTTGAGAGGAGGAGAGATTGAGAGAGAGGGTAAGTGATTGCTCAGTGTCACCCCACTAGCTACTAGCAGAGAAGCATTAAGCTCAGGTCTGTGGATTCCTTTCTTTTAAAACAAAACCAAACAAAACACCTTAATCAAGCACAGGTGAGCCAGGAACTGGAGATAAACAGATGAAGGACACACATTTTCCTCCATGTAAAAAGTGTTACCAGTGGGGTATGCAGGAGCCAGAGCACAGGGGAGAGGTGTTTAATTCAGATGGGGGGTGGGGTGGGGTTCAGGGAGGAGTTCTTTGACCTGAATCTTGATTTTGATGTAGAGAAGATGTTAGGGTTCGAAGCCAATGGCCAGGAAAGAATTCTTGAGCCGTCTCCAGTGCAAAAAGTGGTTTTATTAGAGCACGGGAACAGGACCATGGGCGGAAAGAGCTTCAGTGGAGTCATGAGGGGTGGTGATTATATACCTTCAAATTGGGAAGGGGGTAGGGATAGGTAAGTCTCTAAGGAATTTTGGAATCAAGGTTTCCAGGATCTTGAGGGGGCTAGCTATTGCTGGGAAAAGGTCATTTATTACTGTCTAATAAAACCTGAGTCACGAGACCCTTCAGATGTATATCAGTGGGTCATATGCTTGGGGGATGATTGCCAACATGTATCTGGTGGGGGTAGAGATAAAGGAAGTTTCCAACGGAATTTTTAGATGTTAAAGTAGACTTACAGGATCCAGGGGGGCAGGCTAAGATTGCCTTTTGCCCTCAGCAAAGTATTAACATGGAGGCAGCTGAGTTCCTAGAGGAGTATGTCACTTTGCCTGTTTCAAGGACTTGTCAATGGGCTGTAGGCAGTAAGGAAATTTACTAATTTTTCTTCTTTGTTTCCCACATCAATTGAACAAGCAGAAATTAGCCAGCTAGAAAGGGTATTGTAGGCATATGCAAAAGCAAGGAGGCATGACAGTTTTGTGGAGCCTCATAACAACCACATTTACGAAATACTTACGAAGTAGGTACTAATTATTATCCCCATTTTACAGATGATGAAACTAAGGCCTAAAAGAAGCTTGGCTTTGTTTCAGTGCAAGGGGAAGAGCAGATGGCTACAGAGATGCAGACAAAGGCTTGGCTGGGAGAACTTCCATACTAAGCTAGTTGGCCTGAACCGGTCTGTATCTGCAGTTGTTCCCAGAGGGATTTCAATAGGGAAATGACAAGATCTGATCTGACCATCATAAGAAAGATAGTGGGAGGGACAACACTGGATGTGAGGACCCTGTGTCGAGGCTTTTAGAGGTAACCCAAGTGAAAATTATGACTGTATGAAGCAGATAAAGAGTAAGGGAAGAGTAAAAATACAAACACCAACCCCAGGTTTCTGAATTATGCAACATGGTGAGTGGCAGAGCCAATTACCAAGAAAGAGAATATAAAGAGGAGGAGGAAGTTGGGGGGGGGGGCAGGTGCTTGGTGTCATAGTAACCATGGCTTCCTGGAAGCCATGGAACCGCGGAAGCCATGGTTACTATGCTATTTCTCTGCAGCACTGAGCAATGCTACCACTCATGCCCAGGCAGCAAGTGGAATGGTGCAGAGACCCTGGAGGCAGACAAAGGGTGACTTAGAAGGAGGACAAAGCAAATGGCCATAGGCACTGGAAAGGAAAAAATTTTTTGGGGGGGAGGGTTTTTTTTTTTTTTGGCTTCAGCAGAAATCTTGGAATATTTAAGATCACAGAAACTATCAACTCTATGGCATTCCACTTCCAGTCACCCTTGTTAATTCAGATTCAATGTATCTACAATACTTGGACTGATGTAGGAAAGACGTTACTAGGGTTCGAAGCTGATGGCCAAGAAAGAATTCTTGAGAAGTCTATGGTGCAAAAAGGTGATTTTATATTAAAGCACGGGGACAGGAGCCGTAAGCAGAAAGAGCTGCTGCACTGCGGTTGTGAGGGGTGGCTGATTATACACTACTGGGTTGGGGGAGGTAAGAAAAAAGGGAGGTTTCAAAAGAACTTTCATGTGCTAAAGAGGACCTACAAGATACCAAAGAGGACCTACAAGATACCGGAGGCCTTGCCATTGTCAAGGTTGTTTTTCCCTTCTACCAAGGCGTTAACATTAAGATAGTTGGGAGATTCCTGGAAGAATGTCACACATGTCCATGTCCCACCGGGGGGGGGGGGGGGGGGGGGGGGGGAGGTTGCAGGGTGTCAGTTTATGCTCCATCTTCAGCCATCCTCTGCTCCCTCATCATGGACCACACCCCGATACAAAAACAGCAAGGCTGTGATGTGATGGAAGAACCAGCCAACCAGCCTTCCACTGACATGCTGACACCTCGGCTGGCTCTGATCTGGCCAGCTCTGATTCTGGCCTGATGGTTGAGAATATAGGCAGCCTGTCTCAAAAACTCCACAGAATTAACAACTCCTTGACTGAACAGAAGAAGTATCAACTTCATGAGGGGAAATGTGAGCAGGGTCGAGACTACTCCACTCCCTAACCCAGGATTTGTACCTTTGTTTTTTTCCTATGGTTTTGGATTCGCTATCTCTTTAGAACCCAGTTCAGAAAATCTGGGAAAGAAAGGAAAAAACAATTTATGGGTGCCTGGGTGGCTCAGTGGGCTAAGTGTCTGTCTTTGGCTCAGGTCATGATCCCATCCAGCCGAAGCAGGCTCCCTCTGCCCTTGCCCCTACTCATGCTCATCAGAACGCGCTCTCTCTCAAAAATAAAAGCAAACAATGATAAATGTTGATGTCTTTCTACCAACTTATCTTAAATGTGATCTTTCTCTCATTTATTTAGGAGAGAGAGCAGGTTGCTGGCAGGGGAGGAGCAGATGGGAAGGAAGAGGGAGAGAGACTCTCAAGCAGACCGTCCACTGAGCTGACCATGGAGCCTGACACAGAGCATGACCCTGAGATCTTGACCTGAAATCAAGAGTTGGTTGCTTAATCAACTGAGTCACCCAGGTGCCCCTAAATGTAATCTTTCTTAATACACTTGTAATTTCAGTAAGAAATGTATTTTTTCTTCCTGCCTCACCACTTAAAATTATTTAGTGCCCACTTTTTCATGTCCTTAATCTCAATTATCACCATTTTCAACAGCAGAAAAAGTGCTTTAGACTCATTTACTATAATTTACCTAACCAGTTAAATTAGGCATTTATTTTTTTTTAAACATTTTTTAAAAAAGATTTTATTTATTTATTTGACAGAGAGAGACACAGTGAGAGAGGGAACACAAGCAGGGAGAGTGGGAGAGGGAGAAGCAGGTTTCCCACGGAGCAGGGAGCCCGATGTGGGGCTCGATCCCAGGACGCTGGGATCATGACCTGAGCTGAAGGTAGACGCTTAACGACTGAGCCACCCAGGCGCCCCTAAGTTAGGCATTTAAAGTGTTTCTAATCTTTTGCTGCTCTAAATAAAAATGTTCATTGGAAAATTATGAATATAGCCTTTTCTCTATTTTGGATTATTTCCTTAGAATCCAGTCTCAATCATGTGGCTTTTAAAGTACATGAATTCTGGAAATAAACACAAGTAGTCACAGATAAATATGCACTGAGCAATACATGCCAGTTGAGAGGTAGAACAGAATGTGTAGGATTTGGCTCATCCATAGGTCTTATTTAAATAGGGAACTCTAGGATGGATCAGTTCCAGCATCTTTTTATGGACCAGGGTGATAGAGATAATTGAAGACTTTCGTTTAAAGATTTTATTTATTTATTTGACAGAGAGAGACACAGCGAGAGAGGGAACACAAACAGGGGGAGTGGGAGAGGGAGAAGCAGACTTCCCGCTGAGCAGGGAGCCCAATGTGGGGCTCGATCCCAGGAACTTGGGATCACGATCTGAGCCGAAGGCAGAGGCCTAATGACTGAGCCACCCAGGCACCCCAGAGATAACTGAAGACTTTTAGGAACTAGAATGACTCCCTTGGCTGTGGGCTCTCCTACCATTTTAACTTTGAAGTGTGGGATTCACTTAAACACAGTGAACTTTTTAAAATCTGCTATATGCCTGGTTCTGTGCCAGGAACTGGTTAAGACAGGCCCTGCCCTCAAGTGCTGGCAGCCGCAGGTGTGAAAAATACTGTAACAGAAGTACAAAAAGACACAGGAGTGACATTCAGGAAAAACTTCAAAAAGATGAGGACTGATGAAGTGATTTCTAAAGGATAAAAAGTTCACTAAGGAGAGAATGGGAGGGCTACACCAAACAAAGGCACAAAGAGGTGACACAACTGTTTGACACGATGGGGAAGAACTGCAGGATTTCAGTCTTCATGGACGTAAGATGCAATGAGAGTAGCAGCCAGATGTGGATGGCAAAGAAGGGGAACACACCATCGAGCCTCTTTGGCCTTAACACAGGGCTTAGATTTCATCTGCTAGGTCAAAGTTTCCAAACACCAAAATGAAAGATGATTTTAGGTAGCACAAGGATTACAGCATATGTATTTTTAAATACATAATACCAAAGGACATAAATAACACATCACACTTGGTGATCTCACAAATGTTATTCCTTAGGATGAAACTCATTAAAGAAAGGCAGTCTTTAAAAAACCATGAAGGTGGTATATGAATGATAAAATACTTTTTTCCACTATGGGGAGCCTTATGGAATTTTAAGCAAAGAAGTAACATGAACTTAGGTTTTAGAAACCTTGCTCTGGTGTAAAGGATGAATTGAAAGGTGAGGGGAATCGCAGGGAAAGCAGTTAAAACTGTTGCAAAGATCCAGATGAGATATGGTTAGAAGCTGAACTAGGTACGGGGCACCTGGGTGGCTCAGTCAGTTAAACAACTGCCTTCGGCTCAGGTCATGATCCCAGGGTTCTGGGATTGAGCCCCGCATGGGACTCTCTCTGTTCAGTGGGGAGCCTGCTTCTCCCTCTCCCTCTGCCTGCTGCTTCCTGGGCTTGTGCTTTCTCCGTCAAATAAGTAAATAAAATCTTTAACAACAAAAAAAGAAGCTGAACTAGGCAGAAAGAAATGAAGAAAAAAAAAGATTTAAGAGACTTTTAGGATACTGGGATCAAGGGATGTGGAGAGAGACTGATCATAGGGAAACAGAAATAGGAGAGCCTTGGATGATTCCAGAATTGTAGCTTTGCAGACTGGGGTGGAAAGAAGAAAGGAGGTTCTTGTTACTGTTTGTGTTAGGAGGGGGAAAAGGAGGAGTGGATCTATAATTTTATTTTATTTTTTTTAAGTTTTTTTTTTCTTTTTTGAGATTTTATTTATTTGACAGAGAGAGAGAGACAGTGAGAGAGGGAACACAAGCAGGGGGAGTGGGAGAGGGAGAAGCAGGCTTCCCACTGAGCAGGGAGCCCGATGTGGGGCTCGATCCCAGGACCCTGGGAACACGACCTGAGCCAAAGGCAGATGCTTAACGACTGAGCCACCCAGGTGCTCCTGGATCTCTAATTTTAGTTAAGAGGCATGTAGATCCTAGGACCTCAGATGAACACTGATGTGAGAAAAAAAATAATGAAAGTTTCAGTTCAAGAGGGTAGGAACTAAGAGATACTTGATGTAAGGGCACTTGGAAATTCCCAGCACAGGGGCGCCAGGGTGGCTCAGATGGTTACGCGTCTGCCTTTGGCTCCCTGGATGGAGAGCTCCGCTCCCCCCCCAACGCACCGCCCCCGCCTGACTCATGGCTCTGCGGGGAGCCTGCTTCTCCCTTCTCCCTCTGCTCATGCTCTCTCTCTCTGTATCTGTGTCTCAAATGAATAAATAAAATCTTAAAAAAAAAAAAAAAATTCCCAGCACAGACTGTGTACCGAGGGATAAATGTTAGGGATATCATTACCTTTTCTAGCCCTCTATAGAGGGCTTGATCTTTGGTTATATATTTTTCAAGTGGGACTTGTTAACTAAAGTTATGCCTCCTTTTTAATATATTTCCTTTTAAGATTAAGTTACTGAACCAAAAAAAAACGACTTACAAAGCCTGTAAGTACTACTGTTAAATATTCTCAACACAGATTACAAGGCATCAACATATAATTAAAGAAACAAATTATCTTTGTTGTTGCGAGAGGAGCACAGGACGTTTTCTTTTCCAAGGTGAAAGGTGGTATAGGATTAATAACCAGTCTGCACACATTATTCTTTAAAAGAAAGGTCTGCTCGGCGGGAAGTCTGCTTCTCCCTCTCCCACTCCCCCTGCTTGTGTTCCTGCTCTCGCTAGCTCTCTGTCAAATGGATAAATAAAATCTTTAAAAAAAAAAAAAAAAAAAAGGTCTAAGAGCTTGCAGTTCTTGCTCAGTAGGGAACTGTTCCCTCCCTCTAGGTTCCCTTAGAACTTTATGACAACATACAGTGTTTTAATTTTGCAATTTCATCCTTTTCTTCCCAACTAGATTGTGAGCTCCTTGAGAGAAAGGGTTTTCTTACTCATCTTTATATCATCAGAGACCAATGTCTTACATATTGTTGGGGTTTAATTAATAATAATTGAATACTTCAGTGAAGCAAAACATAGGGATATAAGAACAAGCATTATTTATTTAGTATTAACGCCAGGCAGCGCGTTCAACGTTACCTCATTTTACTCTCACAACAGCCTTTCAAGGTGAGAAAGTGGTACAGTTATCCGTTGGGCAGAGATGATCTGGGTGAAACCCTAGGAAGAGACGCCGCTCTTCTCGCGAGCATGCTACCGTAAAGGTCAGGAGCGGTTACTGCCTAGGTCAGACCCCAACTCCACCACGTGCCTGTGTGGGACCTTGCCCAAACCACGACCCAACTGGTCTCAGTCGCAGCGATATTCCTCGACTTGCTGACCAGAGACCAGCATCCCGCACGCTGCTTCAGGCCCGTGTCCCCTTCCTGTCCCTCTCCGCCTTTGGACCTCAGGACTGAAAGCGACCCCGCTAACACCGACGTTCGGCGCTGACGTTAGCTTTTACTCTGCGGCCAGCGGGTTGAGGATCTACAGTTCAGCGCGGCCATCCTCACCGGCCCCCCCCACAGAGCCTGGCCCAGCCGCCCGCTCCCGACGCCCGGCTCCCGGACTCACAGGCGGCGGCCGCGAGTCCCTCGCCGGCGGGGGCGCACCTCCCAACCTGCCGCGCAGGGCCCCGGGCGTGCGCAGTCGTGAGGCGCAGCTCCGCAGCATGGCTCCGAGGGCGCGCAGGGCTCCGGCAGACACAGCTGCGGGGTCCGCCGGCTCGCCGGCTCTTCCCCGTCACCGACGGGCCACGTGACCCAGGGGGCGCGGCGTGAGGCGGGCGGGGCGGAGGCCTTAGGTCTCGACAGACTTTGTGCCCGCGCCAGATCCTCCGGCCCAACTACTGTAACCTCACCCCCGCCACTGCCCGCTGTCGGGGGAAGGGGAGCGAGGCCCGGGAAGCGGGGAGGCCGGGAGGACGAGCCCCGGCTCGCCCGCTGTTGCCGCGCCCCCCGCCCCCGGTCCTCCCGGCCGGCGCAGCCGAATTCTGGGCGTGTAACCATGAAGTCCCTTCCGGAGAAGACAAGGCCCTCGGGCAGGTGGGAGCGCGCACGCTCGTTGTTTCTTGTAGGCCACGGACATTTCCCTGGGATCGGGTTGGTATTGATTTGTACAGAGCCTTCCGCCTCCTAAGTGCATTTATACGCTTAAAATGCTCCTTTTCTGCCTCTTCCGCTGCCCCTCCTCTCCCGCCCTCTTAAAGCCCCGGCCGAGCTATAAGTCCTCTAAATCATGCTGTTTTTCTTTTTTCTTTCTTTTTTTTTTTTTTAAGATTTTATTTATTTATTCATGAGAGACAGAGAGAGAGAGAGAGAGAAGCAGGCTCCCAAGAAGCAGGGAGCCCGATGCGGGACTCGATCCCAGGACCCTGGGATCACGACCTGAGCCGAAGGCAGACGCTTAACCATCTGAGCCACCCAGGCGCCCAATCATGCTGTTTTTCTTTTCTTTCTTTCTTTTTTTTTTTTTAAGATTTTATTTATTTATTCATCAGAGAGAGAGAGAGGCAGAGGGAGAAGCAGGCTCCCAAGGAGCAGGGAGCCCGATGTGGGACTCGATCCCAGGACCCTGGGATCATGACCTGAGCCGAAGGCAGACGCTTAACCATCTGAGCCCCCAGGTGCCCTCATGCTGTTTTTCAAAAAGAGAACTCGTAGGAGCACTTGAAGGATGTGTTCATCTCTAGCTTTGGAGACGGGCCTGAGCTCAAACTCCCCTCCACAACCTAACACTTTGTAGAGACTCTCTGCACCTGGCCTCTCTTTCTTCATCTGTTTGTTGAGAATACTAAAAAGTGCACAACAGGATCTTCCCTTTCAGTGGGAGTCACGAAGTAGAAGTTAACCAGAAGTTACCTTGTACTTCCCTCAGGAAACTGCCCCCAGGGGCGCCTGGGCGGCTCAGTCCTTTAAACGTCTGCCTTTAGCTCAGGTCATGAGGGGTCCTGGCATCCAGCCCTGCCCCTGGGGCTCCCTGCTCAGCGGAGCCTACTTCTCCCTCGGCCCCTCCCCTCTGCTTGCGCTCTCCGGTGCTCTCCCGCGCTCTCGCGCGCGCTCTCTCTCTCCAATAAATAAAATCTTAAAAAAAAAGAAAGAAAAAGAAACTGTTCCAGGCCAGTGGTGTGCTGGAGCTGGCTCCTACAAGCTCATGGGAGCAGACTTAAAAATTCAGAATTTGTGGGTTCTGGGTAGCTCAGTCGGTTGGGTGTCTGCTTTCTGCTGGGGTCCTGGTCCCAGGGTCCTTGGATGGAGCCCCGCATGGGGCTCGCTGCTCAGTGGGGACCTGCTTCTCCCTCTCCCTCTGCTTCTCCCCCGCCCCGCTTGTGCTCTTTCTCTGTCTCTCAAATAAAAATAATTAAGAATTTGGCTAGCCAGTCCTTAAGTACTGCTATTATTAAAATTTAAATTATGTCATGGGGCCTGAGTGGCTCAGTCACTTAAGCGGCTGCCTTGAGCTCAGGTCAAGATCTCAGGGTCCTGGGATGGAGCCCCACATTGGACTCCCTGCCCAGCTCTGAGTCTGCTTCTCCCTCTGCCCCTCCCTCATGCTTGTGCACTCACTCTAATGTAAATAAAATATTTTTTAAAAATTATGTCAACTTACAATTGAATAAATTGTATTAAAAACAAAGGTGTTTGATACTAAAATCTGTAACTTCCTAATTACTACGTTTTAGTACTGTCTGTGCTCTTGGGGTTATTTACGTTTATCGTATTTGTGTGGTGGGAATAGTAGGCTCATATCTTCCCAACACCTCTTTAAGTCACATCACCTGGCGGCTTGAAATCCACTGCATGGGAGTATTCACTCAGATACTGCAAATGAGGGCCTTCTCTCTCCTTTTTTTAAAACATTTACCAATATACCATTAGTCCATCCTGAATTGAAGTCTTAAAACCCTAAGGGTTACTAGCATAATAGGTTACTAAAATTGCTTACACCCAGCACATCGTTCATTACATGATATTTTCCCAACAATACACCTCTGTCACCACTCACATAGTAAAGGTGGAACGGGAGGGACCATTATCAGGAAAGATAGAGATAAATAAACTTGGCTTTGGGCTTGGCGCTAAGTTCAGAGAGCCCCCTTCTACTTTTTTTTTGTGGGCAATTAGTATCCATGAAACTAATTTCCAATTATTCCAGCACCCTTTGTTGAAAGGCTCTCTTTTCTCCGTTCAATTGTCTTTTCACCTGGGTCAAAAACTGGTTATCCATATATGTTTGGTCTATTGCTGGACTCTGTATTCTGTATGTTAAGTTAATCTTTCTTGATGCTAATCCCATACTGTCTTTCTTCCTGTGGCTTGAAATTATTTTCAACTTTGAATTTCTTTTTCAAAGTTGTTTTGGCTATTCTGGATATTTTGACTTTCCATAGGAACTTTAGAATCAGCCTGTCAATATCTACAAAGAAATTGCTGGGATTTTGAATTGACATCTCAGCAAATGGAGTCTGCTCATGAAAGTTGTATTTCATCTACAAGTCTTCTTATGAACAAGTTATATCTTCCCATGTATTTAAATCATATGTAATGTCTCTCAACAATGTTTTGTGATATAGGTCTTGTACATCTTTTGCCATACAGACATACCTTGTTTTTGTGTGATTCTCTTTATTGTGCTTTGCAGATCTGTGTTTTTACAAATTGAAGATTTGCAGCAACCCTACATGGAGCAAGTCTATTGGTGCCATTTTTCCAACAGTATTTGCTCACTTCATGTCTCTGTGTCACATTTTGGCATTTCTTCAATATTTCAAACTTTTTCATTATTACTATATTTGTCGTGGTGATCTGTAATCAGTGATTATGACTTGCTGAGTGCTCAGAAGATGTTTAGCATTGTTTAGCAATACAGTATTTTTTTTTTTTTAAGATTATTTATTTATTTGACAGAGAGAGACACAGCGAGAGAGGGAATACAAGCAGGGGGAGTGGGAGAGGGAGAAGCAGGCTTCCCACCCAGCGGGGAGCCCGATGCGGGGCTCTATCCCAGGACCTGGAATCATGACCTGAGCTGAAGGCAGACGCTTAACGACTGAGCCACCCAGGCGCCCCGCAATACAGTATTTTTAAGTTATGTACATTGCTTTTTTAGACATAATGTTATTGCACATTTAATAAACTACAGTGTAAGGGCGCCTGGGTGGCTCAGTCATTAGGCATCTGCCTTTGGCTTGGGTCATGATCTCAGGGTCCTGGGATCAAGCCCCGCATTGGGCTCCCTGCTCAGCGGGAAGCCTGCTTCTCCCTCTCCCACTCCCCCTGCTTGTGTTCCCTCTCTTGCTGTGTCTCTCTCTGTCAGATAAATAAATAAATAAAATCCTTAATAGACTACAGTGTAGTGTAAACCTAACTTTTATATGCACTGGGATACCAAAAAACAGCATTTGACTTGCTTTATTGTGATATTCGCTTTATTGTGATGGTTTGGAACCCAACCTACAATATCCTGAGGTATGCCCGAATTTATCTTTCAGTATTTCATATGTATGATGTTATTATAAATATTTTTTATCTCAATCCTTGATTGTTCACTGCTAGTATATGGAAATACAGTTACTTTTTAGGGGTGCCTGGGTGGCTCAGTGTGTTGAGCGTCTGACTCGATTTCAGGTCATGATCTCAGGGCCTTGGGATCCGGCCCTGTTTAGAGCTCTGCACTCAGCCAGGAGTCTCCTTCTGTTTTCCTCTCCCTCTGCCCCTCTCCCGACTCACACACACACTGTCTTTTCTTTCTCTCTCTGTAAAATAAATAAATCTTTTAAAAAAAGAAATAATTACTTTTTATATATTCATCTTATATCTACAAACTTGCTAAACTCATTGGTTAGTTCTAGTAATTTCTTAATAGATTCCTTACATTTTCTACATAGATGAAGATGTTATCTGTAAATACTTTTACTTCTTTTTTACTATCCATACAGCTTTTATTTCTTTTTTTGCCTTATTGCACTGGCTAGAATCTCCAGTACAATGTTAAATAGTAGTGATGAAAACAGACATCCTTGTCTTATTGCTGATCTTAGGGGGAAAGTATTCAGTCTTTCAACATTAAGTATGACCTTAACTGGAGGGTTTTTGTAGATGCTCTTTAACAGGTGGAGAAGTCCCTCCTATTCCTAGTTGGCTAAGAGTTTCTGTTAATGGGTGTTGGATTTAATCAAATGCTTTTTCTACATATTGAGATGATTAGGTTTTTTTTGTTTGTTTGTTTCATACCGGGGTGCCTGGGTGGTGCAGTTGGTTGAGCCTCCAACTCTTGGTTTCGGCTTGGGTAGTGATCTTGGGGTTATGGGTTTGGGGCCCACTTTGGGCTGTGCTGTCAGTGCAGAGTCTGCTTGAGTTTCTCTCTCCCCTTCTGCCCCTACCCCCCCCCCCCAGCCATGCATGCTCTCTTTCTGTCTCTCAAATAAATAAATAAAACTTAAAAAAAATAAGTAAAATAAAATTTGTTTCATATCATGAATTACACTGATTTTTTTCTTTGTCCTCTGACCATGTGTTTCTAATGATCTCTACATGTGACTCTATTCTTCACAGTAGAGATTACATAGAGGTAAACACACGATTTGTAGAGGAAGAACAACAGCATTTCAAGACTAAATATGTGGAAGAGACCAGTGCCAGGTGTCTTTATGTTTGCTAAAATAAAGTTTAGAGATGTAACTGAGACTCGTGCTCAAAAGGGAAATTATGTATAAATAATTCAGATCAAAATAGGACTCAGTTCTTGATAAACAAAATCTGTATAAGTGTAGGTGGTTTCAAATAAAGAAATAGATAAAATAAAAAACGTGCATATGTGGAAACTGAAATGCAGGATAGACATGTATATGTCATATGAATATGTATATACATATGTCATATGAAAGACAGTGTGTGTCATGATTAAAAATGCAGGTGTGGGGGGTGCCTGGGTGGCACAGTAGGTTGAGGGTCCAGCTCTTGGTTTCAGCTTGGGTTGTGATTTCAGGGTTGTGAGATCCAGCCCCACGTCTGGCTCCACACTCAGTACGGAGTCGACTTGGGAGTCTCTCTTCCTCTGCTTCTGCCCTTCCTGCTTGTGCTCTTTCTCTCGCTCTTTCACT